TGTGTGTGTGTGTGTGTGTGTGTGTGTGTGTATGTGTGTGTGTATGGTGTAGTGTGTGTGTATGGTGTGTGTGTGTGTGTATGGTGTGTGTGTGTGTGTATGGTGTGTGTGTGTGTGTATGGTGTGTGTGTGTGTATGGTGTGTGTGTGTGTGTGTGTGTGTGTGTGTGTGTGTGTGTGTGTGTGTGTGTGTGTGTGTGTGTGTGTGTGTGTATGGTGAGTGTGTGTGTGAGTGTGTGTGTGTGTGTGTGTGTGTGTGTGTGTGTGTGTATGGTGTATGTGAGTGTGTATGGTGTATGTGAGTGTGTGTGGTGTGTGTGTGTGTATGTGTGTGTGTGTATGGTGTGTGTGTGTGTGTGTGTGTGTATGGTGTGTGTGTGTGTGTGTGTGTGTATGGTGTGTGTGTGTGTGTATGGTGTGTGTGTGTGTGTATGGTGTGTGTGTGTGTGTATGGTGTGTGTGTGTGTGTGTGTGTATTTGTGTGTGTGTGTGTGTATTTGTGTGTGTGTGTGTGTGTGTGTGTGTGTGTGTGTGTGTGTGTGTGGTGTGTGTGTATGGTGTGTGTGTATGGTGTGTGTGTATGGTGTGTGTGTATGGTGTGTGTGTATGGTGTGTGTGTATGGTGTGTGTAATCCTTAGTCAACACTTATATTGCAAGATTCATGCAACTTTTCTTTAGACTATTCAGATTTAGTGGACCTGATGACTTTGCTTTTCTTCCCCATGAGTCATGATAAAACTAAGAAAGTGTGACTAAGAATAATGATTCTCAACTAGCTATAAATACTACAAGTCTACCTTTTTACTTTTAGATTAAAAAAAAAAAAGTTTTCATTACTTAAGAAAATTTTTACTTTCCTACAATATTGGTCAAAATTCTAAAGCCCATTATTGGATTATACATATTTCTTTTATAAAAAAATCTTATTAAAACAGCCTTTTAACCCAAAGGGAAAATAAATAAGGAAAATCTCAAAATCTTAAAATTATACATAAAAGGTCCTATACAAGCCTTTTGGACACTATTTTCAAGATCATATTTAGCCTTTGTACAAAATTCTTGTTACCCTTACCTATGACTGCATCAAAACTGTCTATCACAGTTAATATAGAGGAAAGGATTAAAATGAACTTGTATAGAGAGGCTCAAGAGCTTCAGAAAAGGGAAAAGATCATTCCGTAAGAGATAATAATGAAAGTATCTTACATGCAAGAAAACCCCTTAAGTATATAACCCTAAATTTATTGGGCGCACAATCTGGACTGAACAAGCATATATACAGTTGTATGTGCTCACAATTGGCATGACAAAGTGCATAAAAAGGCAATGCAAAACATGTGCAGAATAAAAGCATGACAAGTGGACGGAGCCATTCTAGCAGATGGCTACAACAAGCAGGCATGTTCAAGCTTCATGCACAACCGTAAGCTGGCACCAGTGTCTCTCATGTAGGGCCTACAACCTTACTTTCCTGATTGTGTATTGCTGTTTAAGTGAGATTCTTTGTAATTGTCAAAGAAAATGTTGTGTTAAGCTGTTATTATATAGTTATTACATATAAGATATGCTCACTTCCAAAAGGTACAATTATATATCAGGAAAGTTAGGTCATGTATAAATGAATCATTCCTCCAAAACCGAGGTAACCAGGCAACCACGCAACCTCCGCGAAAAATGGATGCTACCCCTAGTGTCATGTGATGGCGAGGTGACTGTATGTTCCTCGTTTCCAGCATTCTGTGTCTCTAACGGAGGCACCTTTGCATTCTGCCTTAAGTATAAATGTTTACAAATAGAGTGAAACTGCGTCCCATTGGACCATTCCCGTGAAGCGTAGAGCTGTTACCTCACAGTGGGTGAGAGGAGAGAGGTGACTCACTACACCTCGACTAAGCCCAACTTGACTGCAAAGAGTGAGGGGCGTTATTGGCGTTATTCATGATGTTGGCTGTTTGGTTGATGGGTTGAGCGTTATTGTTGACTACATTGTCCGTCTTGTTTTCATTTCCCTTTGGAAGGTAGGGCCCTTTGCACCGAAAAGAAGGCAGGAAAGGAAAAGTGGTGTGAATTTTATCAGTTCTCAAAGATATAATCAACTTTGAGAAGGGAGACAGGTGGGAGACAGGTACATAACTCCGTGACGATGGTGGTGTTGGAGAGAAAGTGATCGAGCCCCTCCCATGACGCTGCACATACCCAGCAAGACCAGCAACACTGCTAGCTCTGGCCCGAGTCTAAGGTAATAAGGTTTGTTAGTATCACTGGTCAAAATAAATATGTGAAAATGAAAGAGAAAAAGAAAGAAAGAAAAAAAAAGAAAAAAAAAAGAAAGAAAGTAAAGGAAGGACGCCCCTCCTCCCCCCTGCATCATTTGTAGAGGTTCCTCGGTAACTGCCCATGCATGAGGAAGTCAGTCAGTCAGTCAGTGTGAGCCAAACAGTGTGAACAAGACTCCTTGCCCCCTCCAGAAATGGGGATCACAGCCTTATTAATTCTCTGTAGAAGGCTCAGAACTGCTGCATGTGTCACATATAGCAATGATATGTGAATGCCCTACACTAACAGACACCTGGGAGTGAGCTGTAGTTCATGGGTTACATTGGGCACAGGGACAAACTACCTACTGAGGGACTCTAAGCTACAAAAATTTATCATCCCATTCTCAAGTGTGTGATCATAAGAGTTTTATCGGTGCCAATAAACTAATCCAAAAGTTTGGATCAATACAAAAAAGGGATCACTATTCTTTATTTCTTAAGGGTTTCTTACAAGTGCAAAAGACAAAGTTTTACAGTACTATAAAAACAAAATGGCTTTGGTCCCAGTGTTACCCATCAACAGCAGCTTTCACAAGTGCTGCTACTGCCAACCAACCACTACATCAACAGCTACACCAACACCAATTAGTTCACCAGAGCCACCAGCCCTCACCTTCATGGAGTTAACAATCCAATTAAATGCCTGTGAGTGAGCAAGAAACAGAATGTGTGTCATTATCAGAGGGCAATGATACAGTGCAATGCTAGGTATGGATAACACTAGAAAAACTTACCCGCCAACTGTGCTAGATGTGTATCCATTCCCATTGGCAAGTGTTTACTAATATCCGATCTACTACATTATCTGAGCATATGTATGTCACAGTTTATTGGTTTGTTAAGGTATCTGCTGGTACTCCATGAAGGAGAGAGTGTCTGTGTGAGCAACAATTAGTACACACGGTATTACAGACGTTTAGTACACACACGTTAATACACACACTAGAGCACCGTACATCCACCAATCAGAGCCTGACCTTGTTTTTTGTTTCAAGAGCGCACATACAGAAGACATTGATACACGACGATTTACATGAAGTTAACTATAAGAGAAAAATTTGGGGTTAGACTTCATGTTAACTTGTGGCATCAAAATTATAACATTTTATTTAAATTAGGAAAACCCCAAACAACCAAAATAATATAAAACACCAACACCATATTCAAGCTGAAACTACAGCAAGAACCCTCTTTCATCATCTAGCAATGTTAAAATTCCATAGCAGGTTAACAGTATCTTGAAAAGAAAGGAACAGGGGGAGGGGGGGGGGGAGGGGGGGGGGGGAGGAGGAGGAGGAGGAGGAGGAGGAGGAGGAGGAGGAGGAGGAGGAGGAGGAGGAGGAGGAGGAGGAGGAGGAGGAGGAGGAGGAGGAAGAGGAAGAAGAGGAAGAAGAGGAAGAAGAGGAAGAGGAAGAAGAAGAAGAAGAAGAAAGGGAGAGGGATGGGAGAACAGAGGGAGAGAAAGAGGGAACAGAGGGAGAGGGAACAGAGGGAGAGATAATGGGAGAAAGCTCTTGCATGGAGATATTATTCAGGCAATGACAAAGTTAGTAAAACACGAGTCATTAGTACGAGGCAAATGAAACCAGGTGCAGAAACCAAGCCACCCAACACACATGTCCTGCACCTGCATTAATGAGAGAGGGTTCCACCATAGCAACATCAAACTTGTTACAAACACTGCTTGTCAGTAGCTCAAGTAAGCGTTAGTTGCACATGTTTGGGACGGAGGTTATCAGTCTCACAGGGTAAATGTTCAAAGCTGAATGTTAGGATCCCTTGGGTCAAAGGGGCTCAAACTCAATCACTACAAGAACATACAAAAAAAAAAGTAAAAAAAATATATATATAATATTAATAAAAGTAATCATTAGTAGCTTAAATATCATTTCATGACCCAAGAGGAGACATGTAATGCAAAACACAAATTTTCATCAAAGCAGCTGCATCCTAACTACCCTCTTGAACCACATGATTCCACACTAATTACAATTATCTGAAAACTTGTTCTTTGCCCCCCAACCACTTCCTAATTAGCCGAATCTCAAGCCTTCTAAGATTATGCCCTTTTCTTTTTTTTCCATAGTAGTTCCATCTAGCTCTCCTATATAAAGAATTTGATACCTCACTAAATATGTGAGAACATAAAAATAATTTCTATAAAAAGACTTATTGAAGATTCATTCTGCTCATCACACTTATGGACGTTTCCAATTTGCCTTAGACTTGTTCCAAGTCACAAACATTAAAGATTCAAAAACATAAAAACTTAACCAATATAATCTTTTTGCTTCTTCTAAAATACACACAGTCAAATACTTGCATACAAACACATTAACCTTTAGAACTTCTATAGCTGTGTAACATAATGCTAAAAATAAACATTGGGGTAACCTGTGAAGCTATGCTAAAGACTGAACAATACTGAAAGAACAGAAAAAAAGGAAAGAGAAAAAAAATTATACATGTAGATTTCACAACATTTCTTGTGATTTCATTGTCTTCTTTTTGTCTTTTTTTTAATCATAGAGCTTTTAAGAGAAATTTAACCCTAATGCCCTTCAGCACTATCTTACACATGCTAAACATACAAATTCCCTTCCCTCGACACTCGTCCCTCCCTCAAGGAAAACAGTGCCAGGCCTAAGACGCACTTCCTTCCCCGCAAGCACCACTACTTACCAACAATGATGATGAGGACAATTAGACCGATGACTCCCATAATGATCATCATCTGTTAGGAGACATATGTATAGCACATTTTAATTATTGTATACCAAAAGAATAAAGTATGAGATTTTTTTTCCAGATAAGAAATAAATCAAGCCTTCAGGCCTATAAATAACTGCTAATATTTTACTCTTACTTTGAACAAATGACAAGTAGTTAAGTCAATACTATGTCATAACTAATGCTCCATCTGTATGCTGATAAATAAACATGACAATTTCCACAAAGTAATTTTTTAAAATAACAATAAATTTGTGTGTATATATATATATTTCATGACAGTCTTCTGAAGTGGCAATATGTTCTCCTTTATGTCTTGTTTAAAACCTTATCACAGAGTATAAGTAGTGATACAAACCTTAATGTTCTTCCACCACATTTTCCTCTTTAGTTTTCCAGCCTGCTGCTCAAACTGTGAGGCTCCCTGCTGAAGGGCATCTGTAGTACACCATGAAGATTAATATCAAGTAAAAACAACATTGAGTTTTTTATACATTCATCTAATTATCCAAGGTGGTTTTTCAAGCAAATTGGAAAAAAAATCATGATCTTTACAAAAACTAAAATCTAAAAAAATAATATCACATATAATTCAGGTGTGCATATCCTTCTTCAGTTAAATTCTAAAGTGGCCTTATAATGAAATCCAAAATAGAATAATTATATTGAAGTTAAACAAAACTGCTACTACACATATGTTTGGCAATTATTAGTTTCATTCTTGATGCCACACAAAAGCAAGCATTGCCAAGTAAAATGGTCATGCATGTGAAGAGGAAAATTATAAGTAAATTAACAGAATTCACAGAGTATCCCTAGACCTTGAGAAAACAAGACACTGTGTCATATGGGGTATTTACTGAGTCTAGAAATATCCATTGAATAAAACAATAGTCCTTTAGTGGATGTGCTTCATGCATCTTTTGCTTTTTCCAAAAAAGGACCATTTTCATGTTGCTACTCACTATACCAAATACCAAATAAAGATTACTCAAGTTACAGGACCCAGGCCATTGCACTGCTTTTTAATCAGAGTTTGTTCGACTTTAGTTTCACCAGCAGTAGGGACTAAGTTATGTATTTATACAAACTACCTTTCAAACTGTATCACTTGAATGATTTTCCCATTCAGTTACACAAGAAGAGTAAACCTATACCTCTTGTTTATTCATCATGACCTGATTGGTAACTTAAATATTCCTCAATCATTACATCTACAAATTACTTCATAAAAAGGTTAAAACAAGTCTCATTCCCACCAACTGAGTGTGTATGAAGGGTTGACAGGAAGATTTTTGGAAGAAACAAAATAATAAGAATACTTTCATAGTAAAGTAATAAATTAGAAGGAGAAAAACTGAAAGTTTTAATCTAAATCAATTTCTTAGCTGGAAAGAGGAGGCTCACAAGAGAGCAGTGCCAATCTTTTCCACTCAGGACTTTCAGTTGCATGCCTTGCATATGGCACAACACTGAAAGCACTCAAAGTCTGTCTGCAGGAAGGTGAGATGTGCATTACACATTGACACCTACACAGAAATACAAAGGGGTAGGTTTCATACTTGTGCACTTGACTAATACAAATACCACCTTCTTTATCCTAAAAATTCTGAATCTCTATATCATTTCTCTTCTTATTAACCCATGTGCCTCAAACTTTATCCTGATTATCAATATATCATTTATTATTATCACTTTCTTTTTTTCTTGCAAAAGCAATTATCTTACCATAATGCTATCACTTGCTTATGATTTAAAGAAAATGCAATATATTATCAAAATCAAGAATTCCAATAGATTGAAGGTAGCAAAAATTCAAAACAGTGTGTGCAGATCTAGACTTCACTGACACACAATGCACTACAGGATGTGCAGCATCATTCCCTCTAGAATCAGGTTGGGTCCTACTCTGATTCACATCAAGCTAAGAACAATATGGCAAGGGCAATGTCTATCAGCTTTGTGGGACTGTCAGTAATATTCCGACATTTCAGTATCATCACGACCTCAAATTCTTTAAGTTATCTGAGGTGACAATTATAAAAAATGCCGCTCATAATGGACACCGGTAAACTATGTCATTCTACAAGAAGCAATATCACTGACCCTACAATCAAAATCTTAGAAAGAAAAAATCCTTCTCATGGAAGTCTAATTGTAATCACATTAGGTCCATGTTTGTTTAATACTGAATGTATTTATGCAGGATCATCAGTGATACATCTTACCATGACAGTAAAATCAAGTTTAACCGGACCATTTGCATGAGGTGAAGTAGTGTATATTTTGCAAACCAGAAAGGATATCTAGATTACATAGCAATTCCGCATTATCTAGCCATGAGCAAGCCCTTTATACCTGCGCGATCATCAAGCTCTGAGAGTTTCTGATCTCTCTCAAGCACCTTCTCCACGTTGGTTCTCATCATGTCCACCACCTAAACTTGCCAAAACAACAGTGTTCAGGAGAGGACAAACACAAAGAGAAAATTACAGTTCTCTGAGGGGCAGAGGATATATGTGTACACATACACATATATACACATCAAAGTATATATATGTCTGCTCAATTTACACAACAGCCTGAAGGAAGGAATGAAAGAGGGAGTACTGTGTTATACATAAAAGATAAACAAATCAAATATACGAGTCCCCAAGAAAGAATAATGTTAAAAGCATCCAATAGCAGATTAAACAAAAATACATCTATATGTGGAACCACAACGGACAAAATAAAACATTTGCCAAATTAAATTCCACTACTGTGCTAAGTATTTCAGAGTTGCCTAATGTAATTCATATAATTTTTAAAGCCTACTGCCACCTGCTTAACAACTCAGCAGTTAATATTGGGATATGCTAACATGAAGCTTACATTTGGCAACCATGAGATGCCTCTACCAAGAAGTTCTGTTGACAAGTACATTTAGCCAAAGTCAACTTGCCAGTTTGCACAACCAAAGTATTATGTCTATCAGTTTTAAGATCAAAGAATTATGAGCATACTACTTGTCAAGACAACCTCTGAGTACATTTTGAAAACAAAGGAAACACATCTGGGCAGAGAAGCCGAGGAGTAAACAATGCCCAGTTTTAGGGTACCTGCACGATCATCCAGCTCAGATAGTTTCTGATCCCTTTCGAGGACCTTTTCCACGTTTGTCCGCATGATGTCCACAACCTATAGTCCATAAAAAATCCACCACACAGAAACAATGAGAAAAGGAAGTAGGAAAAGAACATATCAGTTGCAGAATCAAATTTGAATCCCACACATTTATGATGTGAATCCCACAGGAACAGGTAACTCAACTTAAGACATTTCTTGCCAAAGCTTGTGTATGGCTGGAGACAGGGATTATATATATGGTAATAAAAGGTATTGAAACAAGAAAGACATGTACAAACAGCCTTCTGAAAATAACAATCATTAGTTACATGCATCAAACATTCTACCAAATACTACCAAAACATCTCTGTTGTTGTGGATAGACGTCACCAGCACAGACAAATTCTACACCTGTTTTGATCTATAAATCCTGAGGAAAAGGATTATGATAAGTCATGCTCTTCATTCATAATCACTTCAGATAATCCTGCAGTATTAAGGGATAAAGTAAGTTCAAATTTCACAACTTCCCACGAGTTACTGCTACATTATAGTAGAACTAGTCTGAGTTTAGACAACCAGGTCACAATCATGATGGGGAGCTTCCCTACACAACATATCCTGCCACCTTTTCTTTACTTTTCTTTTTGAGTGAGAGAGGGAGAGAGAAGAGCATAGAACTCTCTGAGTCAAACTTGAAATGTGGTAAAAAATTTCAATAACAAGACAAAAGATTTCTATAACAGCTTCTCTCTAACCCAGTGCCACGTCACACAGACCAGAAATCACGAACCATGTCTAATCAAAGGGAGGGAAAATATGGGAAAAGGAAAAAGAAAGAAATCTGCATAAACCGGGTCACTTGAATGGCACATTTTGCCGCACAAGTTCTTGTTAATTAAGTACCATATTTCCCCACAGATCTGAAGAGAACTAATAAATTTAGTTTGTGTTAATAGTCTGGGCCAGTACAAAGCAAAGAGTACAAGGAGTCAAGAATCCCTAAACCCTTCAAGTTAGGCATGTAAGCAGGCAGGCAGGCTGGCAGATGACTGCCCCTCCACCAACACAATGTCACACTCTCACCTGCTCGGTCATCAAGTTCAGACAGTTTCTGATCACGTTCCAATACTCTTGCCACGTTGACTCGCATTATTCCCACAACCTGTTTAGCGCAGAGTGCAAGCAGTGCAAATATATACATGAATAAAATATACTTTAAACTTAATCAAATCAATCTAAAAATCAAAAGAAAATAAAAACTAACCTGTAAATGTCTAGTCTCAACTTTTCTAAGTGGTATGTACTAAATATCTGATTGGCATGCACAGACCAACCTAAACGAATACCACTTATGTGAAACAGAATAATAATGTACATTGATTTCCTCTGGGTTTTTAATGTCTTCCATAGCTTCAACTTTACAAGATACAGCAATACACATTCTGCCTAAAGTAACTTTTCTCCACTTTCATAATATCTGAACTACAATTCAGAAGTCAATATTCCTTTACTTTTCACAGAATTATATCGATCATACTTATGAAGAATAAGTAAAATTGAAAGCTTACTCTAATGAAAAGGAGTATACACCTAAATGTACAAAAAGGCCGTAAAAGATAACTCTTACATTACATCACCAACTTTCTCCAAGAACGTACCCAGCTCAGCTCAGGGCCCTAAATCAGCTAATCAGTCTATTTCATTATGCACTTTCTCCAAAGCTCAATTACAAATCTATAAATCTGTGCATTACACCTTTGAGACTGCAATGACAGATTTTCAATGGTCACATCTACTCGTCACACAGCAAAATGCTTTACTACAAAAACATTCCACAGGAAGACATTTCTACAGATATTCACTACAAGGGAACTTCTAAACGGGTAAGAAAAAAATAAAATAAAATAAAACAAAATAATAAATAATTAAATAAATAAATATAAATAAGTCAATAATGATAAAAATGAATAAAAACTAATCCAAAATCATGCAATTAATATTATCAATTAGTTGTCAGAGAATGAGAAACTGTTAGAAAAAGGCTTTACTGCATTAGTCCTCTGGTTTATTGCAAATCACTGAACAACACATCAACTGAGACACATATTCACATGACCATGAGAGAGCAAGAGCGACAACAACAGAAAGAGTGAGAGAGAGAGAGAGAGAGAGAGTGAGAGAGCACACGTGTGTGGCTGTGTCTGTACATGTGTGTGTGGCTGCATTTGTACATGTGTGTGTGGCTACGTCTGTACATATCTGTGGCTGCATCTGTACATGTGTGTCTTTGGCTGCATCTATACCTGTGTGTCTATGTCTATACATGCATGTCTGTGGCTGTGTCTGTACATGTGTGTCGACAACTGTGCCTGTTTCTGCACTTCTGCATTTCTGTGTCTGCATCTGTGTGCATATGTCTGCATCTGTCTACATTTGTCTGCATCTGCGTGTGAGTATGTCTGCATCTGCATGTGCATATGTCTGTCTGTGTTTGCATATGTCTGTGTCTGTGTGCGTTTGTCTGTGTCTGCATGCATATGTCTGAGCCTGCATGTGTGTATCTGTGTGCGTATGTCTGCGCCTGCATGTGTATATTTGCACCTGTGTATGTCCTAATCTGTGCATGTGTCCTCGTCTGCATGTGTATGTCTGCCTCTGCACGTGTACGTCTGCATCTGCGTGTGCTTGTTTGTGTGTGTGTGTGTGTGTGTGTGTGTGTGTGTGTGTGTGTGTGTGTGTGTGTGTGTGTGTGTGTGTGTGTGTGTGTGTGTGTGTGTGTGTGTGTTTGTGTGTGTGTGTGTGTGTGTGTGTGTGTGTGTGTGTGTGTGTGTGAGAGAGAGAGAGAGAGAGAGAGAGAGAGAGAGAGAGAGAGAGCATATGTCTGTGTCTGTGTGCGTTTGTCTGTGTCTGCATGCATATGTCTGAGCCTGCATGTGTGTATCTGTGTGCGTATGTCTGCGCCTGCATGTGTATATTTGCACCTGTGTATGTCCTAATCTGTGCATGTGTCCTCGTCTGCATGTGTATGTCTGCCTCTGCACGTGTACGTCTGCATCTGCGTGTGAGTATGTCTGCATCTGCATGTGCATATGTCTGTCTGTGTTTGCATATGTCTGTGTCTGTGTGCGTTTGTCTGTGTCTGCATGCATATGTCTGAGCCTGCATGTGTGTATCTGTGTGCGTATGTCTGCGCCTGCATGTGTATATTTGCACCTGTGTATGTCCTAATCTGTGCATGTGTCCTCGTCTGCATGTGTATGTCTGCCTCTGCACGTGTACGTCTGCATCTGCGTGTGAGTATGTCTGCGTCTGCATGTGCATATGTCTGTCTGTGTTTGCATATGTCTGTGTCTGTGTGCGTTTGTCTGTGTCTGTGTGCGTTTGTCTGTGTCTGCATGCATATGTCTGAGCCTGCATGTGTGTATCTGTGTGCGTATGTCTGCGCCTGCATGTGTATATTTGCACCTGTGTATGTCCTAATCTGTGCATGTGTCCTCGTCTGCATGTGTATGTCTGCCTCTGCACGTGTACGTCTGCATCTGCGTGTGCTTGTTTGTGTGTGTGTGTGTGTGTGTGTGTGTGTGTGTGTGTGTGTGTGTGTGTGTGTGTGTGTGTGTGTGTGTGTGTGTGTGTGTGTGTGTGTGTGTGTGTGTGTGTGTGTGTGTGTGTGTGTGTGTGTGTGTGTGTGTGTGTGTGTGAGAGAGAGAGAGAGAGAGAGAGAGAGAGAGAGAGAGAGAGAGAGAGAGAGAGAGAGAGAGAGAGAGAGAGAGAGAGAGAGAGAGAGAGAGAGAGAGAGAGCACGTGTGCACGTGTCTGCATTTGCATCTGCCTAAATTTTAAACCAGAATTCAAACTCCTAGTCTACGCCAGATTTTTAATTAAATCATGTTAAAAAGCTGAAATTTCTTAAAATACACAAAGACAAAATGAAAACTCTAAAACCCTAAAAACAAAGTTAAAGAGATGGCCTATGAACAAGAACTATCCTAAACCCCACCAAGTTCTCTCTCTCTATCTAGTCCACAATACTACAATTCATTTAATAATTTTCCCCATATTTCTTTTTTTCAAGAATATATTCAGAATCTACTTCTGTCCCTACCAGTTCAGTAATCAGACATTCATATCTTACCAACTAGTCGACTTTGCACTGACCCTCTTTGCCATCAAAACCAGAAAAAAAAGTTAAAGCCCTCCACCAGTGCTGTCACACTGTCACTCTGAACTCAAGTGATGAAGCTCCCCAGAATATGCCTACCTGCACGCGCCTCAAATTCTGACAGTTTCCCTTCTCTGATCAGCACGAGTTCCATGTTCTTACGCATGACCATGGTCACCTGTTTGTCCATGGGAGAGAGCGACCAAACCCGTGGATTAAGTTCGACCACAGAACCACTTACTCTGAAGTTTATGAGGATACAAGTATCTACAGCAGTATTGTGTTGGGTCTGCCTACCACTCAAATTATGGAGAAAGTAACAACCGATTGAAGTCACAAAGTTTATTAGCAATTACGTTATCTGGGACAAAATATGTATGCCTATGCACATTCACGCAACTGTACTTAATGAACATGTACAGGGATTATAAGATCAACCACACTGAAATCATAGTAAAATTTTATAGCAAATTGAAATCATAATAAACAGAAAACAAATTACTCATGAAAACTGATCTTACCATCACTGCCAATTTCTAAGATTAGCTAAGAGAACATTTACATAACTCAAGGCACACACAAAGGGGACAAGCCCTCTGAACTCAGCCTGGCCTGCCTAGCTAAGCCATCTCAAAGTCTGCTCTAGTGACATATTAACCACTGGGTACAGATCTTAACAGAACAAAGCTGGCAGCAGCACCAGCACCAGACTCATTAACATGTAGGTTATAGAGAGGCAAAAGCATTTTCTTCCCTTATAATCAGGAGACACTTATACTCCTAGTCTTTGCTACATGAAGACAAATTTACAAGCTATTATATGAAGATCCTGCTGTCTCCCCATGTCACCTGCATTCATAAAATTGTTGCTTCTGAGCATTACAGATTTGATTTTGTATTCTGAAAAATAGAAGATTAACTAGGTAGGCTGCCATACTCCAATTATCTGAAAATATACTACAAACTCAAATGACCTACCATGAGTAACATTATATAAATACAAGAATTAATCAAAACCTATTTACTCTACAAAGAACCAGCTGGCTAAACCCTAACCATTCTTCTCTCTTGTATAAAGTCCTAAATGTTACACTCTTCTAACTCTATATGTTTTAGTAAGTGAAAATTCAGTCCCCTTTTATCTACATAATGCCAAATGGTAAAATCCCATAATTGCGTTAGACAGACACATCCTTCTATCATCTAAGCAGTCAATACTAAAATTACTTGCCTAACATTCAACATCATCCCACTGATAGTCCAACACAGGGGCTTACCTTATTCTACAACAGCTTTTATTTTTATTTTCTAAATCTTTCCAACCATACTGATTTCCACCATACCTCATCGACTTGCGCCTGGGTCTGTTGAAGTCGTTTCTGTGCTGCCACCTGCTGGGGTCCTCGGGGTCCTCCCACGATCTCGCCATTCTCCCCCGTAGGAGGGGCCCCCTCTGGAGCAGCCCCCCCCGCTGCTGCTGCACCTCCTTCAGCAGACCTGCAACCAACCCAGTTTAATTAGTAACAGTAACATATCACGTGTCTCTTAACAGTCAATTATACTTCGCAGGAAAATTCCCCAAGGAGATTATACCATCATTATCAATAAGTATTACATAACCATTCTGAGAACCATAACCAAAATAAATAAATTTATATTTTTTAATAAATAAAGTATTATATAAAGTAAAGTGAGGTATAGAACTCACAAAAGAAATATCATACATAAAAACAAAATCCGATGAGGTAAATAAGGCATGAAATCATAACTAGACACTTGGCTAGTTGTCATAATAACAGCCTACAAAGTAAAACAAAGTATTTCAAGCGCTTCTTTTTACCGTACAGCTGTTGCCCACAAAAAATATAACATCTGAGATCAGTAGTGAGTAATTGCTTGAAGAATGCTTTCTAGCAACAGATCAAGTGCAATACACTATGCATATAGTGTAAATGCCGCAGCATGGCAATACAAAACAAAGCAATACAAGCTGCCTTCAGTAAAAAAAAAAAAGTATTGATCTTAAGTGTGATGTACTGCAGTCTCATACGTGACATCAGCCATTTCTAAAGTACGTGTAGAGCACATCCTTGTTCAAGTATCCAACCTACCCTCCTTCCCTAGTTCCGTGGTCCAGCAAGAGTTACAGATGGGGTAAGGGAAAAATTTGAAAAAAATTATTTTCTTAACATGAAACACCATGAAAAATCTTTGGCTAAAGCTACCATGAAAAAAGGGAAGTAAAAAATCATATACATATCACTTCTAAACATCTTGGCCATTGCTCTCATCATAAAAAAAAAAAATGAAACTAAACTCCTGAAGTTGTGTACACACCTTATCGTTTGTGTTTAATACAGAAAAAAGAATGGGAAGATTAAAGTTTTGAAAAAGTACCCAACTTTGTATCAAAGAAAAATGTTTCTGAAAATGTTTTAATCTTTTTATGAAATATCACCCACAGAGAGAAAAAAATCATGCTTATATTTGTTCCTCAGTCTGTCTTCCATGAAGGAACAGCAAACAAATCTGTCCAAAACATGCCTCTTTTATATACACTTTTATGTATTCCTACATCACCTGACACTTGCACCATTTTCGAAATCCTACGGTGCATTTTCCTTTTCTATAGGAGATCTTGTAGTAGGGAGTTTTACATTGTTTCATGAAGTATGTTACTGTTAAACCTAGGCATGGTACATGTACCATTAAGACCTCTCATCTTTATTTGTATTTTTTTTCTATGGTATTCATACCTATCTATACATATTTATGCAGTATATTACCCACTACTTTCCCATTCTATACCTCTTCTAAAAATACTAAACAACAAATAATTAATATACAAATTTCTTGTATAATACATCTAAGAGTTTGATTTTTGTTACTTATTTTATTCATTTTTTATTATCATCTTTTTTTTTGCTGTACAGTACAGAAATATCATATGATGTTACCATAATCTTCATTAAACTTACTGCACATATTTTGCCATTAGTTCTATGATGCTATATTTGTTTATCTTTGATGCTATTTGCAATAAATGCTTTATAACACAATGATAACAGAACCATTTCTTTATTGATGAGCATATATAAGGGTTTTTCTATCCATATTTGTCCATAGTACAGCACATTCAAACTGGATTAACAGAGGAGAAAGAACAAGGAAAATGTTGAAAGGTTTCTTCCTGAGAATTACCCTTTTACTCTGAATAGTATATAGATGTTAAGTTATCCATTTCTCCTTATACATATCAAAATGCTCATAAATGTGGGAAAAAAATAATCTAGTATACGACATCTCCTACTAGAAACAAACAAAATAACAGCAACCAAAATGGCAACACTATTGATCTTCCAACATGGCTACTTAGGCGTTTATGAGCCTCACAATAGTTTGGATGCCTATCTAGCCTGGTGGGTATGAATGCCATATTTTTTTTAATCGTGTACGTATTTAAATATCCTTTCTTATTCTTGGGGATATTCTGCCTCCAGCTTATGGTTTAGCCCAGTTGCTCCACTAACCTAGTAGACTGAATGGCTTCTTCCTACCATACTAGGTTTAAGCATGTATCTCAGATATACTCTTAAACAAACAGACAAACAAACAAAACAAAATGAATACAATATACAACCAGTTAATTACCTCTACTAAATTCCCAATAAAATAGAAAATAGAACAAAAGGAAACAAAGACATTCTATGAGTGACTTCAATTTTGCAAGAGTGAAAGCACTTATTGCTGAAGTCACTTATAGACTCATGTGATGAAAATGGGGGCACATGCAGTCCAAGAAAGTCCTATACTTTACTAATTCATAGTTACTTAAACAGAACACAACCTTGAACCTCACGTTGCCTTTCTTCTACACGAGTGGGATATCCTTGAATCACAACATCATTTCCCATACACAATTCTTAAAATTCATATCCACAACATTCTTTAGCAACAAACAAGAATAACAAAGGAAAGAAACGTACAACATGCCTTCCATCCTTCCATACAGTTCCCTCTGATGACACAGGCCAAAGGCTAAGCCACATCACACCAAAAATACAATAAATCAATAACCATCTCAGCATCCATTCTTCTCTCCCATAATCTCCACCTTCCTAATATCACTCACAGAGGCTCACTCATTATCATCCTCTCTCCTTCACTCACCCACTCATCACAATGAGTCAATGTCATGCTCAATCAGTCTTGCGTTGTATCACACATTCATACTCGTGAACATTCACTATCACACCCAGTCACACCCTCACTAACCCTGTCTGGCCGCATACTCTCACATACACTCTCTCTCTCTCTCTCTCTCTCTCTCTCTCTCTCTCTCTCTCACACACACACAGACACACACACACACACACACACACACACACACACACACACACACACACACACAAACACACACACACAAACACACACACACAAACACACACACACAAACACACACACACAAACACACACACACAAACACACACACACAAACACACACACACAAACACACACACACAAA